TACCCCTCATATGCTCACTCCATGTACAGATAATGTCAGACAATATCACCACAGTGGTCTATATAAACAAACAGGGAGGAGCATGATCTCATCTGCTCTGCCTGGAAGCAGTCAGACTTTGGAACTGGTGTCTCAGGAACTGCATTACAATACAGGCCGCATACCTCCAGGATCTTCACAATTCCCTGGCAGACAGGCTAAGCAGAAGTTTCTCTACAGACCACAAAGGAGAGAACCACAGCACAGTTCTAACCAACATATTTGCACAGAGGGTTACTCCCCTATGGGACCTCTTTGCATCCCAGATGAACAGAAAGCTTCTCATGCAGTGCTTCAGGGGAGATATAGGCAGTGATTCCCAGGGTGATGCTTTCCTGGATGGATGGCCTCAAAAACCTCTGCCATCCCATTCCCCTACTACCACAAGTTATATAGAAGATTCATCGCAACAAAGCCACCATCCTTCTCTTAGCACCCTTCTGGCCCACACAATTCTGGTTCGCGGAACTCCTAACGCTGTCCATGCACCCACCTATCAGAATCTGCCCATTTAATCAAACACCCCAACCCAGGCTCACTCCACCTCACGGCCTGATGTTTGAATGGGCATTGTAAATAGGATGCTCGTGCTGCACCCCTGTCCAGGAAATCCTTAACCAAAGCAGAAAAGATTCTACTAGAGCCTGCTACTGGGGTAAATGATGGCACTTTTCACCCTGGGCTCAATGTCACCAACATGTGCTTGATATGGTGGGCATCCTAGACCAGATCTCCACTCCTTAAAGACTTCAGGTCTAGCCCTTAGTTTGCTGTAGGTACACCTAACAGTGATCAGTGCCTTCCTCCCTCCAGTGGAAGGACATTCTGTCTACACACCGGACTACTGTGTGATTTATGAAGGACTTGATAAGGACCTTCCCACCAGTCATTAAACTTATGCCTCAGTGAATCCTTAACCTTGTCCTGTCAATGCTCTCACCTCTGCCCTTTGAACATATGGCAACATGTGCCATGACCAACTTGTCTGTGAAGGTGATGTTCTTAATGATCATCACTTTGGCCCGGAGGGTCAATGAGCTAGGAGCCGTGATGGCAGGCTCTCCGTATACATTGTTCCACAAGGAGAATAGGTTACACCCCAGATTCCTGCCCAAGATTGTTTCTGAGTTCCATATCAATCAGTCGATTCAGTTACCTGTATTTTTCCAAAAACCCCAGGCTTCTTCCAGAGACAAGAGACTTCACTCCATATACATCAAATGTGCCATGGCATTCTACCTTCAGAGAACCAAACCCCTTAGAAAACTCTCTGAGACTCTTGGTTGCCATAGTAGAAAGGTTGCATGGACAAACCATATCCTGATAGTGGATTTCTAACTGGGTTTTGAGATGCATATTGGAATGCTACAAAATAGCAAAGCATCTCCCTCTTGGGGGTATTATCGCTCACTCCACGTGAGCACAAGCAGCCTCCATGATATCATTATGAATGTTCGATGGTAGGACATTTGCAGAGCAACAGCTTTGAGCTATGTCTGCACATTAGCATCGCGCTACACTCTAACTCAAGCTGAAACTGTGGATGCAGCTGTTGGATTGGCAGTACTACAAGCATCTCTGCTACCAACTTACTTGCACCCTCCTACACTCTGAACACTGCTTGCTAGTCATTTGTATGTAGAACCCACAGAGAGACCAGCACTCAAAGAAGAAATGGAGGTTACTTACTGTAACTGTTCAAGATGTGTGGTCCCTATCTTTATTCCATGACCTGCCTCCTTCCCTTCTGCTTCGGATCCTGTTGGATTGTGATAAGAAGAGGAACTGGACAGGCGATGACCTGCACCGCCTCTTATAGCTCGTTTGAGAGCATGAGGGAAGTTACTATGCATGTGCGGGTCAATGGACACTGCTTTGAAGAACTTGCAGACATGTTGAAAGCAGATAGGGACCACACATCTCAAAAAACCTGCAGATACAGTAAGTAACCTCCATTTTTTTAAAGCTTGGTTCAACACCAAAGGCATAGTACATTGCTCAAGGGGTGGAGAGATTCAACTTTCCTAGCAGATGCTATTTCTGATTAACAAGGGAGATAGTCTGTTTCTGCTGGTGTCTCAAAGTCTTCTCCCTGAGAGTGGATCAGATTTCCCATCCATAGTCAGTCTTATTCTCTGATGACTTGGTTCTTCATGAGTGAGTGCAGCGAGTCCCAAAATAGACCCAGAAATTTTACACATTGAAGTGTGGCCACCATTAAAGTTTGTGTTGCAGCCAGCCATATCTTGGCATGAGGAACTTCTGTTTTCACCCACTCTGCTGGGAAGTGATTTTCAGTTATTTCATCTGCACCCACCAATCAGTTAATTCTTGCTTCTTGGGACTTGAACTTCATAATGACGAAGGGTGGGATCCACAAAGATACTTAGGCATCTGACTCACAGTTTTAGGCTCTACTGTGATCAACAAAACTCCCACCCAACCCTGGGGGCATCTAGACTCAGCATCTGAGTTTTCAGGGTCAGAAGTTCCTGAGCACCTAACTTTCTGCCTCTGGACATGCACACTGCCACCTCCCTCTAGATAAATATTTATCCACCGTGGAATAGTCATTGGTCAGACAGAAGGAGAGAGAATGAGAGTGGCTCTGTAGTCCAGTCATTAGGGCATCCACCTGAAAGGTGAGAAACCTGGGTCCAGGTCCCCTACTCCAATCACTCTTTACTTATCCACAGTGGAACAACTTCAGCAGGAGAGACTGAGGAAGACCCACATCAGAGTATCCCCTAGCTTAGTGGTTAGAGCATCCTCCTGCAAGGTGGGGACCCCTGTTTAAATCCTTTCTCCCTCTCCAGTCGAGGGGGACTTGGACCTGGGTCTCCCATGCCCAGGTAGTGCTCTAACCGCTGGGCTAAAAGTTATCAGGTGGGCAGTGGCAGCCCCTCCTCCTTCCCCAGCTGTTTTGTGCCTAACTCATTCCCCCAAGTAGCTGCTTGACTCCAGGTGGCAGCTGGTTCCCATTCATGGATTGCTGAGCAGAGAGAGTCACCATCCTGCAACTCAGACGTAGGCACCACAAGAGAGGGGTGGGTCTTAGGGCACATCCCTCTGGTGGGCATCTGCCATCAGCTAGTTCAGACAGCTTCCTGCCTATCATGCTGGCTGTTGTGAATCACATTTGAAGGTGCCTGTCTCTCCCCATACATTGTACAGGAAGCCTAGGTGCCTAGCTCAGGCTTTGTGGATCACAGCGTGGTTCCTTTGATTTTTCTAGGCAGCAAAAAATTAGGCACTGTGACTGTCAGCCCCAAATTAATAGCTCCTCCATGAGAACTGAGCAAGGTGGGTTGTCCTCATGGCAGCTGACAGAAAGTATATTTTTATACCCTCATCCAAAATTCTTGGCTGTTTCTGGCTTACTACCAAAGTGTCTGTATCAAATTTATAAAGCTGCCACTTGGAGTTGAGTCCACACTTTTACTCGTCAGAATCCTCTCAATATTCAAGCTAGATCAGATCCTTGTTTCAGAAGAGCAGATCTTCAGTCACTTTAGTTAATACTCAGTCTTTGCCTTGAGGATATCTGCTGGTTGCTAATCTCTGAAACCAGGTTTCTGAATGGGCATTTTCATGATGGAAGAAGAAAGGTTCAAATTAAGAAGTCTTTTTAAAATTTAATCCCAAATTTAGTTCTGATCTCAGCTGGTTGATTTTTCTTGTGTCATTTGGTTGCTGTTTATTGGCATAAGTCTCAGTGATTATCTTCAGAGCTGATATAACTTCTGTCCTTGTTGGAGTTTCTACTTCCAGGAAGTAAGGTGAGGGATAAGAGGAGGTTTAGGGCTTGTCCAGACGTAAAGTGGAACCGAAGTAACTAAAGGTGTGAAGTACAACTGATATGATTTCAGTGTAGACTGGCCTTTGGGCAGGCCCCTCATTTCATTCCCACAACTCCCCTCTGCCTGGGTTGATTCATTCCTTGTTTAGAGCCCCATGTTCATGCACAGTGTGTTGTGCCTTTCCACATATACATTATGCTTTCACACACACACACACCCTGCTCTCAAAACACACTTCCAAACAAATTCTCTTCTAGACCATAGTACACACTATGTTAGTTGAGGTCTAGCAGCACAAGCCAGAGCTAGATGAATTACGTGAAAGGTATAGGTAAAGGGCCTGAGCAGTCTTGCTCACATGAATTCATTCCATGCATTGCAGCCACAAAATTAATTGCTTTCTATCTGGCTTGCAGCACAACCCCCGACCTTTCCCTAAACCAAGGAACATCTGAGGTCTTGTCTGGACTAGGAAAAAGGTTTGAGTTTAGGTTAGGTTTAATCTTGATCTTAACTCAATAACTTTTCCTAGTCTGGAAAATGCCAAAAGGTAACTACTACACTCCCCGTCCCCTTCTCTCCTCCTCCTCCCCCTTCCCCCCCATGTAACAACATCTTCTCTTTAGGCTTTAGCATTTTTTCAAATCACATTTTAAATCTTTCAACCTCTTTCGTGGGGCTGACTGAGCCTCAGAATTTTGCTTTCCAATCCGCATTTGGACATTTTGAATTGCCTATTGAAAAGATGACATGGCTTGTGTTTGTGTTTTAGCCCAGATTTCTCTGTGAGAAAGATCAAGAGAATCCAAGCTTTGGGACAGTTGGTTTTTAGGAGGAGGGCTAACTAATGCAGCTCACTCTTTCAAGCAAAGCTAGTCCAGGGGTTCTCAGAACAAATTTTTTGGTGGCCTCAGAGTGTGGCCACCAACTCTTGCTGGTGGCCACTCTGACAATTTTTCCTAAAATACTTAATTAACTTTAGGAAAAACAAATAAATATGCACATACACATACCCCTTCTCTAGGGACTGGTTGGCAGAGTGATTATTCCTCCTCTTCTAGAAGGTGTCATTTTTAAATGCAGCCTTATCTGAATCTGTGCTTTTAATGTAAAAATCTGAATGTTTCTCTTTTCTTTCCTTATTCCTGCCCTTATTTGCAGTGCACGCAGTTGAGCGTAAGTGATGCTTACTTCTTTCCTTTTCTTATACTGTTCACTATGGAATTAATCTAATTTCTGTTATGTCTTGTCTCCATAAATCCCCTTTGGGAGGGCACATAGAGCATTAGCTTAGGTTCTTAGCCTGGGATTTGTGAGTAGGTTCAGGGGGCATGACCACTGACCCTTCCTTTGTCGCTAGAGTGGAGGGTGGATCTGTTCTAACTGGGGTCCCAGTATAGAAAAGGTTGAGAAGCTCTGGCCTGGATTATTTTAATAAGTCTGTAAGAGACAGTAGGTTGGTGGATGTGTTTAGTCTGGTGGACTAGCTGAGTGAGGCCTGGTAACAGTTTGGAGGGTGGAGTTAATAGATTTAAAGACCAGAAGGGATGATCATCTAGCCTGACCTCCTTCATACCACAAACCAGAGAATGTGCCCCAGTGATTCCTGATTCCAGCCCACTAGCTTGTGACTGAACTAGAGCAGATGAAGAGGGTTACAAATCATGGGATTCATTTTCAGGTGTTAAGTACAAATTGGTTGATGTAGAAGTTGATTTCTTCAGAGCTAAAAATCCAAACGTTGTTGCCTGCTTGAATGATTTGGCATTCTTAGATTAGAAGCAGTGTGAGGTAGGGACTGCCTTTTTGTTCTGAGCTTGTACAGCGCCTAGCACAATGCAGGCCATGCCAAGTGCTCTGAGGTGCTACAGTAATACAAATAAGTAATAATAATAATAAATGTGCTTTACATAGGTTCTACATTCGTTCTGAAATAATCTTATTTACGGGCAGCATCAAGAGGTCTCCTGCGGCATTTTGGTGGTTGTGAGGGTGGATCTTATTGCTCTTCATAGGTGGGGTGGCAAGAATGAACCCTGCACCCTGGTTGTGGCAGAGGCCAACTTTAGTCCATGGAAGGCTGCTCTCCCTGCTGGATCCCAGACATCCTGGAGGAACCAGCACCAAGGATGATCCAACCACCCTTTGTGCCTTCTAGTGAAGAAGTGAAGGGAGGCTGAAGTCGAGAGTAGCAAGGGGCTGAAGCAATGGGGATGGTTACAATTGTGAAGGCCAGCAGGGTGTAGAGGCAGAATGGGAGGGCCAGCCCCAGGCTCTCCCACCCCAAATAGCCCATAGGCTGCCCATTGCCATCCCTTTGGTACCTTTGGCTAACGTGTCTGCAGAATGTGTAGATTCCCTCCATCACATCACATAAACTGCTAATCCTGCTGTACGTTGTATTGATCTGCAATCTCCACTGTAAATAATTTTCCTGTTCACCTTTTATATAGTGTTACGTGTTAGTCACCTACGACATTTCATGTTAGCCTCAAAGTGCATTTCAGTAGAATTCTAAATACGTGGTGAATAGGCTGTGTATTGGAAACACTTTAACGATAGCAATTGGGCACGCATACGTAATATTGTTCAACAAGGAGAGGTATACTGTATGTATATCTTATTGAGAAAGTAACATTACGATTGGTGAGGTTTTGGAAATGAAGGGGAGAAGGCAAGGGAGGGATCAAGGATGATACTAAGGTTACAAGTGTGGGTGATGGCAAGGAAGATGATATTGCTGGCAGGGTAAGCAGGAAAGAACAAGTGTTCATTCATAGCCATGTGGAGTTTAAGGTGGTAGGAAGACATCCAAGAGGATGGATTCAGAGGTCTGGGCTGGAGGTTAGAGGTCAAGGATAGCTGTGTCTGTGTTTGAGAAAGGGGAGGGTATGTGAATTTTTAAGTGCTGATCAGAGGAATGATAGTGGAACCCATGGGTTCTAATGGTATGGAGGAACAAAAGGAGAGGGCCAAGGATGCTGGGCACAAACCTCATCAATGAGAAATGGATTCTCATCCTCACGTTGACCTCTATTTACTGTGACAGTGGATGGATCACAGAACCTCTTTGTACCTCAGTTATTCCATCTGTAAAATGATTCTTCTCCGAGTAGATGAAGCTATGTATTCCACTTAGGTGTATGCATGCCCAAAGCACCAGAGCTGGAGAAATTTGCCTAGCAGTACCCATGGAGAGATGGTTCTCACACTTCGTGGTCATAGCCCCTCCGCTGGCTACATGAGGCAGCGCTGTTCTCACCCTCCCTCCGTTTCTTCTTACCACCCGTGGCTGGAGTCAGAGCTCTGCGTGGTTTTAACCTCACAACCTCTCAACTAGTTTAGTTTTTTCCCTTGTTGTATATAGTTAGTAGTACACTTAGTGCTTTAGAAAACTGCATTCCTAGTAGTGATAACATCTGCAAGGAGAGTCTACAAGTTGCAGGCTGTGATAGCAGAGCCTCCTTATACACAATTCTCCAAAGACAGTGACTTTATGACCGCATCCAAAATTGTTGTGTAAACTGGTTTCTCAGTTTCATTTGAACCAGGTGGTATATTTACCTGTGTGCTCTCCAAAACCACATTCATTTCCAAAGGAGCAACGTCTAGCCTTCTGTGTGGACAGGACTAAACTGTCTCATGCTTCACCTCATTTGTGTCATATGCAGATCACATGAAGGGTCAAGCAGTCTCTTCACAGACCATGTCCAAATGTATCGCATCCTGCATCATAGAATCATGGGCGGTTAGAGTTGGAAGAGACCTCAGGAGGTCATCTATTCCAACACCCTCCTCAAAGCAGGACCAACCCCAGCTAAATCATCCCAGCCAGGGCTTTGTCAAGTCAGGCCTTAGAAACCTCTAAGGATGGAGATTCCACCACCTCTCTAGGTAACCCATTCCAGTGCTTCATCACCCTCCTAGTGAAATAGTTTTTCCTAATATCCAACCTAGATCTCCCCCACTGCAACTTGAGACCATTGCTCCTTGTTCTGTCATCTGCCACAACTGAGAACAGCCTAGCTCCATCCTCTTTGGAACCCCCTTCAGGTAGTTGAAAGCTGCTATCAAATCTTCCCTCACTCTTCTTTTCTGCAAACTAAATAAGCCCAGTTCCCTCAGTCTCTCCTCATAAGTTATGTGCCCCAGCCCCCTAATCATTTTTGTTCCCCTCCACTGGACTCTCTCCTGTTTGTCCACATCCTTTCTGTAGCGGGGGGCCCAAAAGAGGACACAATACTCCAGATGTGGCCTCACCAGTGACGAATAGAAGGGAATAATCACTTCCCTCCATCTGCTGGCAATACTCTTACTGATGCAACCCAATATGCCCTTAGCCTTCTTGGCAACAAGGGCATACTCTTGACTCATCTCCAACTTCTTGTCCACTGTAATCCCCAGGTCCTTTTCTGCAGAACTGCCGCTTAGCCAGTCAGTCCCCAGCCTGTAGAATACATGGGATTCTTCCGTCCTAAGCGCAGGACTCTTCACCTGTCCTTGTTGAACCTCATCAGATTTCTTTTGGTCCAATCCTCCAATTTGTCTAGGTCATTCTGGACCCCATCCCTATCCTCCAGCATATCTACCTCTGCCCCCAGCTTAGTGTCATCCGTGAACTTACTGAGAGTGCATTCCATTCCATCGTCCCGATCATTAATGAAGATATGGAACAAAATTGGCCCCAAGACTGACCTCTGGGGCACTCTGCTTGATACCGGTTGCCAATTAGATGTTGAGCCATTGATCACTGCCCATTGAGCCCAACAGTCTAGCCAGCTTTCTATCCATCTTATAGTCCATTCATCCAATCCATACTTTTATAACTTGCTGGCAGGAATATTGTGGGAGACCGTAGCAAAAGCTTTGCTAAAGTCAAGATATATCACATTCACCACTTTCCCCATATCCACAGAGCCAGTTATCTCATTATGGAAGGCAATCAGGTTGGTCAGGCATGACTTGCCCATGGTGAATCCATGTTGACTGTTCCTGATCACCTCACTCTCCTCCAAGTGCTTCAAAATGGATTCCTTGAGGACATGCTCCATGATTTTTCCGGGGACTGAGGTGAGGTGATTTTTCCAGGGACTGAGGTCTATAGCTCCCCGGGTTCTCCTTTTTCTTTTTTTAAAGGTGGCACTATATTTGCCTATTTCCAATATTCTGGGACCTCCACCGATTGCCACGAGTTTTCAGAGATAATGGCCAATGGCTCTGTAATCACATCAGCCAACTCCCTCAGCACCCTTGGATGCATTGCGTCCGGCCCCATGGACTTGTGCAGGTCCAGCTTTTCTAAATAGTCCTTAACCTGTTCTTTCACCACGGAGGGCTACTCACCTCCTCCCCATACTGCCCAGTGCAGCAGTCTGGGAGCTGACTTTGTCTGTGAAGACCGAGGCAAAAAAAGCATTGAGTACTTCAGCTTTTTCCACATCATCTGTTGCCTCCCCCATTCAGTAAGGGTCCCACACTTTCCCTTACCACCTTCTTGTTGCTAACATACCTGTAGAAACCCTTCTTGTTACCCTTCACATCCCTTGCTAGTTGCAACTCCAGTCGTGCTTTGGCCTTCCTGATTACACCCCTGCATGCTCAAGCAATATCTTTATACTCTTCCCTAGTCATCAGTCCAAGTTTCTACTTCTTGTCAGCTTCCTTTCTGAGTTTAAGCTCACCGAAGATTTCTCTGTTAAAATACAGCCAGCTTTCCTGGACTCCTTTCCCCCGCATATTAGCCATCCAGGGGATCCCTGAGGGAATCAAAGAATGCTTTTCTGAAATCCAGGGTCTGTATTCTGCTGCTCTCCTTTCTTCCTTTTGTCAGGATCCTGAACTCGACAATCTCATGGTCACTGCTGCTCGGGTTGCCACCCACTTCTACTTCTCTTACCAATTCTTCCCTGTTTGTGAGCAGCAGGTCAAGAGGAGCACGTTGGTTCCTCCAGCACTTGTACCAGGAAGTTGTTCCCAACACTCTCCAAAAACTTCCTGGATTTTCTGTGCACTGTTGTATTGCTCTCGTGATTAAAGTCCCCCAGAAGAACCAGGGGCTGTGATCTGGAAACTTCTGCCTGAAGAAAGTCTCGTCTACCTCATTCTCCTGGTCTGGTGATCTGTAGCAGCTGCCCACCACGACACCACCTTTGTTGCTCTCACCTCTAAACAGGCTT